TGTTGTACATCTCCAGGACGAACGATAATATACGCATGTCCACCAAGCTACTGATTACAGCCATTAAAGCGTGAACACTGCGCGCGCTGTAGAAGATTGATTGTCGTGATGTTTCTGACTACTGTTTAAGAGCCCTTCTCCAACCTACCAGTAAATGATCATGAGAGTGAGAACGTTCACCCTTCACCCCCACATCAACACAAAGCGGATAGGTACTGGTTAGTGATTGATGGAACTGCCAGACGTCGGTGCTCTTTTAGCGCACCTCTATCGGCAAAGTGGCTCGGATGCAATTACTCAGTCACTTAGAAAGTACTATCCACCGATTAATTACGCTTTACTAATCACATGTAATGGAATTCTTTTGAACAACAAGCAGCATGCCGAGCCATTATTGTGATACTGAATTGGTTGGGCGTTGAGATAGATAATGATCCAATGGAATAAGCTCACAAACCCATATATCCCGAAATCTTAATGAATACATCTCTAAAAACATGATTAAGTGACCATTCGTGTGATCACAAGCACACAAATTTATCGTGAAGCTTCTGCTGTTCAGTTTTTGGATTTACGGTGGTTCTGGAATGCAAGATTTAGCCGTCAGTGGATATTTTAAAAAGCGACATCGTGCTAAACTTTGCAGAAGCGCATGCACATAAAACGGGTGCGGTGGTTAAGAAATTGCAATTGAATTTGTCCAGATTGAGAAGACTAATAATCTATGTAGACGTTTCGCACATGCCACGTGACCAAGCGCACAGACTGAAGCCACTGAATCTCGTTTTGGTCACAGCGACAGCGGTAAGCGGCAAACTCACAAGCAATTTACTACCCAAGGAAATGGACCGGGTAACATGCTGTTATTGTGACTAGAACTGGCAATAATAACGAAACCGAGCGTGTCGTTCATACCGTTAAGGCGACTGTTGAGATGAGATCGCTTGCTGGGATGTTAAGCAGCGGATAACAGTGTGGATGGGATTGTATGGGTTGTCATATACAAGTATGCGGTCACCGTGAGGAGACAACAATTGATATGTAAGTAGTATATTGTGCTATATCATCCAGCAAATTAACACAGTTTACCTGCTGTCTCAGCTTCGCCCAGGTGATAAACTTCTTGACTTGGAGTATGCCGACGACATTGCCCCTATCTTTGACATATTTCAGAGGTGCCAAGTAGCACTGGAGAAAGTAGCAATGGCTGTCAATCGTTTCGGGTTATGCTTTGCATCCTCGAAATGCAAACTCCTTCTCCTAGATTGGCATGGACCCATACCTGCGTTAACCCATGGCGGTGCTCAGATAGGATTCGTTCAGAAATTCAAGTACTTAAACAGCTATATGAGCGCCAGCGGAATTGAAATGAGATCATAAAACGCATAGCAAATGTTTCAGGGGCTTTTGCCAGTCAGCGTCATCTTTGGCGCCGGCGCGATATCACTCTCACCCTGAAGTGCAGAGTTTACAATGCAGCCGTCCGTTCAACTCTCCTATACAGTTGTGAACCCTAGCCCTTCAGGTCGACAGACATAGACGTTAGCTACGTTCCACCATCGCTGTCTTCGCAGTTTAGCTCATGTCTCGTGGGAAAACTTCATGAATAATGAGGCTGTTCGGCGCCGGGTATTTAGTGCAGGAAGAACAAGTGAACCGCACAGCACCGTGATTTCGCGCAACAGGCTCCGATGGCTGGGCCACCACACCGGCTCTCGTGACCTGCGTTATTTGCGCGCCGCGGGTGTGGGTAAGAGAGGAGGCGTGGCCAAGCGATGACTTGGTCAAGAGGAATGAAATTTCTCATTTCCAACTTGGCGTCGGTTGGAGAATCTCGGCTCCCTGATTGGGTTCTGAAAGACAACGAACAAGTATGCTTGTATACACTAGTTGACATGACCAGGAGCCGACTTCAGTGGCGTTTGTGCTGTGTTTCTTTGCCCCCCCCCATCCAGCTTATCTTCCCCCTCTAACCACCACCTCCCACTTGAACCATAATCTGCTACTAAACGGAATGTTGCCTGCCTCTTACAATCCATAACATTTAACGTATTACTTTTTCTTATGTCTTATCTTTAAATAATGCTGCACGATAGTTGATGTGTGTTTTTTACCTTCAGCTAATGTGTAACGATTATGATGACCGTTTCAGCTAACTTCATTTTTATTTATTAGCGCTCAGGGATACAATGAATGAGATATTGTTAGTTGCCACAAAAATGCTCATGTTGAACGCTTGTTACTATAGTGTACACATGATAATGCACGATAGGCCGATGTGTCGTAGCAACCTTTTGGACGGTACAACTGTTTTTCACTGAATAGTCCAGTATAGGTGAAATTTGTCATAGGCATTGAGGACAAAGGGAACTATGTTGGCTCTCAAACGTGTTGTGACCTGTTAGACAAACGCCATATTTGTACTTTTCTGATAGATTTGATAGCTGCTAATTGCAATTCTTACAATTTTGGTAAACAGGCATTCCATAACCTGTCTCATGTGTGTATGATGTTCGTTACTCCTATGTTGACTTCATTTTGGTAGGTGGTCCCGAAGTACGGAAGGTGAGTAGAGTCTGACGAATAAATCTTCTGGCTTTTCAGGATGCCGCGGAAATTGCTTCAAAAAGCAAAATGGATTTCAATTAACCCAACTCATCTAGAGCCAAGGGTGGGATACCCCATGGCATCTCTACACAAATCTCATTAGCTTTGCTTAAACGAGCTTTCGTTATGATCGTTTAACTTACTCGCTGAATTAGAGGGATTGTTTCTGAATAAAAACTGTTAGAATTCACCTCAATCATCGAATGTTTTGGAGCACCCAACTGCTCATCGTAGCCTTAAGATGGATGAGTTATTCCCTCATAAATCTAGATAACCTCAGCCAGATCCCCTAGTGCATCCAAAGTAACTGGTTCTAATGCAGTAATCTCATAGAACAATCGGTACCTAGCAAACCCTTCCTTTAACTTTTTATTTACTTATCACAAATTGATTACGTTACCTAAGATAGTGTAAAGTTTCAACCAGGATGGCGTTCACTTAAGCCTCCAGTGTTCCTCATTCTCTCTCAGCTGTTTGGATTATGTTGTATGCCCTTATTGCATTGTGAGTTGGTATTCGATAAGCAAGTGCAGGCAGATCAGTTCAGAGTCATTTTAGTGTGGAAGAAAATAATACCGGAAATCACAGACTTGTTACCTCACGGGATAGCTATCCCACCGATGACGTTGCAACTGGTGGCTGAAGTGGGGACGCAACTAAGAGGCTATTCACATTTGTACGATGCTTGGCTAACTGTTTATACTTCCTTGTGAGTATGTTTGCGTGGTTGCAGTGATTAATAGGCAGGTAGCTTTGGTGCGCACTCGTCAATGACCTGTTGAGGTTCACTCGGTCGCCGTGAATTGTCAAACGTGTAGAATATATGGACGAAACTGGGTAGCTCGTGGAGTATATTCATGGAGATGAAAGCATACAGTTCAGTAAAGAAATTTCTTTCCGACAGTTCTCATCAGGCGTATATTATATAGAACTGGTTAAAACACTGCAGAAGGTCATGAATGGTCTGCTCGGGTTGGTAAAGTTCAAACAGACTGCATTGTTCATCGATCAGACTCTCCAATCGATGGTAATAGCCACGCACAGGCACACACACACACACACCTATGCACACACAACAAGACGGTTCGTCCGTCCGATGAGGTAATTGGAGCAAATGAGTCACCGTCTGTGAACGTAAAGCTCGGCGCCCAGAGTGAAATCATGGCCACGGCAACAGAAGCGCTTGCACTAACGTCCTCTACTAGCGCAGTTCAGGTTGCATTAATCTGAACGCAATGGCTTGGGCCGTTCTTAGTAAGCGTTTTCGAAGTCTTTTTGTGTATCGGTTTGGCAAAACGTAAAAGACGTTGAAAGCTTCCTTGGTCACAACTTCCTGCCTGCTTTAGACTAAATGCTCCAAAATAGAGCAGTTGATGCTTCTAACTGTGCGCTTCCGTAATGCTACTGGGCAATGTGCTCCAATCCGGTTCACCAAGCGTCTGGTTGTGTGGCTGGGGTATGTTGCACCACATGAGCAAGTAAACTGACCTACGGTAATGGATTCGGACTGGACCTGAATTCTAACCTTAAGATGCTGAATAATAAAAGGGGCAGTTTCTGCAATCACTTGCGGGTAAGCAGCAAAGAATGACTTGGTTATTGCATTTGAGAGTCTCCGGTTCAGTAACTCGAAGGCGACATCTCCATCGAAAAGGACTTACAGATGAAAATCCTTTTCCGGCACACTCACTGCCTTTTTCTCGTCGGTCACGGACCACAGAGTGCCTCCAAATGAAAGGAGTGCGGTAGCCGTTAGCTTCCTGTACTAAGGATGCAGTCCATTTCGCTTTCCAAAGTTGCTGGATAACCAATTTGGTTGGCGTGATAATACAGGCAACGAACTAACTTCGTTTGTACTTCAACGGTACAAATCTGCAAAATGGGTGTATTGACCAATCCAAGTAGACTTTCGATAGACCCTTCTTTGAAGTGAGCAAAGTTCTCGTCTGCCTAGCAGTATGTCCGGAAAGGTTATCAGTCCTTCGCTTTCGATTTACTAGTAAACTTCAAAGAGGGGTTCGAGACATTTAACTGATCTAGCAGATGGCTACGTCAGCGTTTGAATCACAAATTTTAAAGGTATTATCCATGTGTCTGCATTGGGAACCAAATGACGTGATAATTGGTCGGAGTCCCGCGTTTTATTTTGCCAAGGAAAATGTCAGTAAAAAACGGCCCTGCGGGCGACCCCACAGCAACTCCATCCAGCTGTCTGTATCAACATCCTTTAAACTTGAATTGTTTGTCGAAAATGTACCGTTAGATCAGTTCCTTCAATTCAAGTACTGAGATACTAAAACCTATATGGTTTTCTGTCGAAAATATTTCTTCACTGATTTGAAACTGGGCAGCGGTATTTTTGTTTCCACTTCTATTCCCACCTGTTTGATCTGATGAGGATTTTGTATATTTTACCTACCTTAGAGTTAAAGTCCAAGCGCCGTTTTCGCATTCCCGGGATGGGCCGGTTTTTCAAGTGCCAAAAACGATTCCGGTAAGCGAGTTGCCTTCTTTCTACTAATGGTCTGCTTTACAGTACCTTATCAGACATGCCCATCGTTTAGTATGCATAAAAAAGACATTCTGTTTCTGTATTTTCCCGCTTAGAACTTCTTTTATACACTTGTTTGGCTTATGGCTGGATGCTGAACATGTTGAAATTCCATCAACACGGACAGCTACGATCCATCATTTATCAGCAAATCACCTATTTGTCCCCTAACAGGGTTGATAGTGTGTAGGCGTACTGCGATGTTAGCGCGTGGAGGACTTCTAACACACAAGCTTGTGAACTGAAGAAGCAAGTGCCGGATTTAAAACATAATCGAGAGCATAGCTTCAGCCATCCCATCCAATTGCTTGTGATCAGCTCACTAAACTCACACTCAATCACTGGTTTAATCGTTTATTCGAACTTCCAAAAACAAACACTTCGATAATCACCATCCGATCCTGTGAACAGAGTGAAGACGAAGTTAGCCCATCAGACTGAATGTGTGTCTGTGTGTGTGGGTCATGTTCGTTACAAACAGTGCCTCTTTCACCACGCTCACGCAACCATTTAGCACGTCTTTGGCTTGAAGCTTCAAGACAAACACATGTTACCCCCCGGGGTATTTTCGTCTATGTATCATTGTAGGTAAGCAGCTTGAAAAATGTAACAGGACTAGATCCGTTCCAGGAGAGAGAGTTTGCTCTACTTGGGCACTGAGTTGAAGAATAATATAGATTTGTTTTACGAGTTGGATAAAAGATGTTAGCTGTTAAGAAAAATAATCTGCTTTTAGGCAGTTATTGAGCTATTCTCCTTTTCAATAAGCGTAAGACTATGTGGGTTGAATGTTAACCGAATGTCTGTTCCTATGTGTAATACTTACTGGCATTCAAACAATGGGTCTGCATTTGAATTTAGTTAGCCAGCTGTTCACTGCCCAACTGTCGTTTAACTCACCTTAACGGGACCGTCCACAGTAAAACTATGTTCTAACGGTCCCAGAACTCAGCTGTCTAGCTGCTCGCGCACATTTCATCTACCAGAATGGTTCAGTTTATACTATCTGCGTCGCAAATTAAACAGTCGAACGGATGCAACGGAAATGAAAACCTTAACTAGAGAAGCGTCCCCTCCCGCTACTGAGGCAAATAACCTGAGGTATACGGTAACTTATTTTGAGGTCTAATCCAGCCGATCAGTTGGGTCCAGAGTAAAATGTCATTTGACAGAAGGATTTTAAATGCAGTGTGCCACAGTAGGAGCTGAGTTTCCAGTTATTTAATATACAAAATCCCCAGAACTTTCATCGGACACACTGCTACGGGCTAGACAGAGATTACATCTCTTGTATTCGGTCACATACACGCCACCATTGGTTCGTGAACTGAAACTTTATCCAAAAAGTCGAAAACTTTTATCTCTACGGCTAGGGTAGTTGTCGGAGCACTGCAATTACCAAGGATGATGAATTGTTGAATGAGATTGACGGAATAATAGACTGAAAACACAGCATTTGAAGGCTCTCATGTAGGTAGATTATTTGAATTCAGATAAAGTGTGATCCATCTTTACTCGACGGAATGGTCTACTGCACTCCTATGCAACGTGCCCTAGAATTTCTGCATTGTGAATATGTCACTTCAAAAAATAGAGAAAAGGTAGAATGATATTTATTACTTACTTATATATTTATTTACCTCCTTTCTTACTTACTTACTTATTTATTTACTTACTTGCTTACTTATTTACTTACCTACTTACTTACTTGGTTGGTGGCATCCGGTTTCTGATTCGCTTGTCACTGCGGTCAGCCACAGGACGCCTGCGCCTACAGAGGGATCATGGGTGGCTTGCGCTGCACCACCCACAGCTCCAACCACACACCCCATATCCAGTGTAAACCCGAAGGAATAAGACCGGGACGCATGTGGATGGGAGCCACGTTTCATCAACGGAGCCGGCCCACACTCCTTCACAGCAAACACAGGCACACTGTATTTGGAGAATCAAGTACACACAAGGCGGTGGCTGGACCGTAGTCCGCTCCATACCGAGTGCATGGAACCACTCTTCGAGCCTAGCAGGGCCACAAGGGCCGTGCACCCAGTCTCCTCCAGGAACGCCCAACTATCTCCTAGAGACAGTATGGACGAGGTAGTGGGTAATAGACAGATAGGCATCTTATTAACATGCACATCAAGCACAGCCGCACCGGGGATGTCAAACAACAGCAAATCACTTGAAACGACGATATCAAATAAAATAAATCGAATAATGCATACAGATACGGTGACATAACTCTTCACTAAATAAGCATATGAAATAAATTGGTTGCCAAAAATCCACGATAAGTTCAAGGCGTTAGAAAGTATATTTTAAAAATGCAACAAACGTGAGAATGTTCTCGAAGTTTACTACAATTTGCTTATGCAACGTATGTAAATTGATAGAAGATAGTTCAGGTAGACATTTATATGAGATAAAAATATCTTAGGGCAATATAGGAAGCCCACAACCTGAACTAAAGAGACTAGCATGCAAGCACGCGGTTAGCAAGTCGAATGCAGCGACCCGTCGTCGTTTCGGTGTTGGCCCCGAGTGACCTCGCTCATGGTTCATTAGGCCTGCATTACTCAGGCACTCGCGACCGCATGGGCTACAGCACCAGACGCTCAATGTCGATGGAGTACAACCCATCGGCGCGTGCTGCTTCCTCACTTGCCGCTTCTTCTCCGCATGCACGGGGGATTCCTCTTGCACCTCGGCAACCACCTTCATGACCAGGTCGCGCCATGCACGCCGATCAACCGCCTTCGAATCCCGTGACCTGCAATCAAGATTAGAACGTGAGAGGCTCACTTTGACCATGTCCTGGTAATGAAGCATCGATTTCGCCACATGCCACTTCCCAACACACAGCTGCCCATATAATAGCTGCTTCGGTATTCTGGTCGAATCAATACGTCACACATAACAGAGTCACCTCAGGTGGCTCAACAAAAGCATCCAGTCCACTGCGTACATTCCAGTTCGAGCAACAAACCGCCGTGTCCGCAACTTTGTCTCACCAACCAATGCGCAAAATCCGTCGCAAACAGTGTTGGTGGAACCGCTCGAGATATCGCACATCCAGCCGGTACATCGTCTACATTTCGCTCCCGTATAGAAGAACGGACAGCAACACGAATTTGTACACCATCAGCTTCGTGACAATGGTAAGCTGATGGTTTTTCCACACTTCATACTCAAGCTTCCCGAATGCCGCCGCTGCCTTCAAGTCGCGGATACGCAGCTCACTGTGTAGCTGCTGGTCAGTGGACATCACACTCCCAAAGTAGTAGAAGCGGGAGGTGGTTTCCAGTACTTCAGCACCAAGGCCGATTCACGGCAATATTGAAGATTGCACCTCCGGTGAAGGCTGTAAGAGACAGACAGTTTTGATTGTGTTGATGGTGAGCCCGAATTTGGCCGCTCTCGAAGCCAAAGCAATAGTCGTGTGCTGCAACTTATCCGCGCTGTATACAAACAACGCACAGTCGTCAGCAAACAGCGACATACGGATAGTTGTCTCACTGACGAGAGTTCTCGCACCGAAACGACGGATGTTCAGCAACCCACCATCAATACGGTGCTCCACACGAACACCGTAAGCACAAGTCGCATCAAAAGCACAAGACATGATTTCATGAACATGTATATTAAACAGAGTAGGAGCTAAGACACGGGCTTGTTTCACAGATGAGACAACGGCAAAGTCATCCGAGGTCTCTCCATTCAGCTGCACCCTCGCTCTCATATCACTGTGCAGACATTCAATTAAACTTACAAACTTACGCGGGCAGCCAAACTTACCCAACACCAGACACAATGCCTCACGGTTCACGGTATTTAATGCTTTGGTGAAAGCAACAAAAAGCGAGTACAACAGCTGATGTCCTTCTCTGCACTTCTCCTGCAACTGGCCATCCGCAGCCACCATATCGATGGTAACTTCGGAATCCACATTGCTCTTCCGTCACCTTCGGTTCCACAACCTGACTGACGAGGCGGCTGAGCAGGATTCGGGAAATCACCTTGCCCACACAACTCAGAAAATTGATGCCACGATAATTTGTGCAACATTGCTTGCTCCCTTTGCGCTTGTACAGTGGTAGCACAAGGGCATCCTTCAGCTCAGGAGACACCTCCTCCTCAATCCATACACGTTGCACCAAGTAGTGCAGCGCATTCAACAACGCAGGTCCACCGTGTTGCAATACTTCAGGCGGGATCCCATTGGTACCGGCACACTTGCCGTTTCGCAGCTGAGCAAGTGCTCTCTGCGTCTCATCCAGTGTCGGCGTGTCAGCCAGACTCGCCTTCACGTAGTGCTGCTTCAGGCCATTCAAAGGAGGCCAGTCGATCTCTGTACGGTTTTTCAAGAGACAGTCAAAGTGTTTCGGCCAGGCGTTATGTCTGCAGTCTATATGCAGGCAGCACCTGAACTACCATCGATTAGCGTCCTCAGCGGCTCCAACCTCGGTCCATACACCGCCTTCAAGGTGTCAAAGGATCCCTTGGGTTGGTGGCGTTCAGCATAGCATTCCATCTGCTTCGCCTTCTCCGTCCACCATGCGACGGTGTTCTCGGGTCAGTCGTTGTCGGATTCCGACAAACTGATGCTTCTTACCCAAGTCACTGGGATCTGCCACATGTGCAGCAAATGCTGCATTCTTCTCCGACATCAATGCGCCGATCGTCGCATTGTTCTCATCAAACCAATCAGGCCGCTTACAGTTTGAGCGTCCGATGGTCTCCTCGGCAGCAGCTGTCACCTGGTCGCGAATGTGGTGCGACAGGTCTCCAACTGTGGTTATGCATTCCAAATAACATAGGCGTGCAGCCACCACCATTTCCAGCTCAATACGTTTCTCCACAGTACCGAGGGAGAGAAGGTTAATCTTACGCTGGTTCACGTCACGAGTGCAATACATGGATATAAAAAATTTATGTACTGGTTGGTCTGCACCAATTTGTGATCAGTGCCACACTCAGCTCCACGCAGCACATGTGTCATGCGCACTTCACGCATATCACGCTGACGTACGATGACATAGTCGATCAGGTGAGCGTGACCACTCCATGGGTGCGTCCAAGTTGCTATATCACTCGCACTCACTGCAAACCGAGTGTTCGTGATCGTCAGGCCGTGAGTGACACACAGTGAAAGCAGTCTGTCACCGTTCACATTCGCTGAACCAATGCCATGCGGATCGATAACATCTGTGCACACCGATGCGTCACACCCAACGAGCGCTTCGAAGTCACCCAGGATAAATAGTCGGTCGCTCCTCGGCACAGACCGTATCACGGAGGATAGCTTAATGTAGAATTGGTCACCTATGTCATCAGGATAACACATGGTCGGACCGAATGTGATTATAAAAGTGTCAAACTTATCTATTGCCAGTCGTAGATGAATGGTGCTCAGTCGCGCGCTGATGCCTGTTGGTTCACCCACCAGCTGGCCATTAAGGCGATCGGATATTACAAAGCCGACCCCATGTTCACGTGGTGCTGAGGCGGCGTTGCCCACCCAGTAGAACGTATCACCAGCACTGCTTCATGCAACTTACCTTGCCCAGCGAGCCGGGTCTAGCTGAGTGCCGCACTATCGATTCTGTAGCGCACCAGTTCCAACGCGACTACTGCAGTGCGTCGCTCGTGGCACACTCGAGTTCCGGTCCAGTAGTGTGCGCACGTTCCAGCACTCGATGTTGAGTGCTTTGCGCGCATGTATCTGATTGTATTGGTGGGCAATCAAATGCATGGTGGCGGTTGTGCTTCGGAGGTTTGCTTTAGGTACTCCACCCGGAGCCTTTGGCTCAATAGCTTGACCTACACAGCAATGAGGAGCAGTTCCAGCTCGAGAGTGTGATTGCAAAGAGGTTGCAGTCTGCTTGATGGCCGTTACACGCAGCTTCTGGAGATCTGGAACGATTCATATATTTTTTAACCCTAGTAGGATACACACATGGGGCTCGGGCCAGATGCAGGTGGGTTTTGGCGGATTTGCACCAATTTGATCAGGGATTGCCTGGCTTGAAGCTGGCAGTAGCAAACCACTGAGCACCCGGAGGTGCTCTCCCACCGTCAGGGAAAATGCGTTGTGCTCCTGTTCTACGCTAATCGAGCTGTGTGTTTATTATTCGTAAACCTGTTGTCCCCCATAACTAGGTTTTACGGGAAGAGGGCCATCGACCACTTCCTAACCTCCGAAGAGGATGGACTAGGATACTGGCAGGGCGCCCACACCTGACAGGAGAACGACTCGGGTCCTCAGCCAAAGCCTTCGATGAAATGTACGCCCGAAATGCAGCGGGTCTAGCACACGGTCATTTCACTGACTAAGGCTGGTCGGTGTCCTTGATCTTAGCAGGGAGATGGACGTAAACCAACTCTCACCTAGCGGTCGCCACGATGAGTCGTCTAGGACATAAGCCCATGACTCAATATTAGCGGCAGTGGGTAGAACATCTCTCAGGATCTAGCCACCACCAACGTCAACACACCATAGGCTCTCCCACCACTTGCATGGTTGGCGGCATCCGGTTTCGGATTTGCCTGTCACTGTGGCCAGACACAGGACGCCTGCGCCTACAGAGGGACCATGGATGGCTTGCGCTGCACCACCCACAGATCCAACCACACATCCCATATCCAGTGTAAACCCGAAGGAATAAGACCGGGAGGCATGTGGATGGGAGCCACGTTTCATCAACGGAGCCGGCCCAAACTCCTTCACAGGCAAACACAGCATACTGTATTTGGGAATCAAGCACACACAAGGCGGTGGCTGGACCGTAGTCCGCTCCACACTGAGTGCATGGAACCACTCTTCGAGCCTAGCACGGCCACAAGGGCCGTGCACCCCGTCTCCTCCAGCAACGACCAACTATCCCCTAGAGACAGTATGGACGAGGTAGTGGGTAATAGACAGGTAGGCACCTTGTCAACATGCACATCCAGCGCAGCCACACCGGGGATATCAAACAACAGCCAAACACTTGAAAGAGAGAAAGAAAAGGAGAAAAACTCGATTGATGCATAAGGAAACGGTGATATAAACCTTACTTAAATAGCATATGTAATAAGTTGTTTACAAACAAATCCTAGCTAAGTGCACGAGGTCAGGAAGTATAGTTCAAGGAATGCCACGAACGCAAAAATGTTATGGAAATCGAATACAATTGGCTTAGGCGATACGTGCAAGTTAATGGAATAGAGTACAGGGAGATATTTATATGAGAAAGAAAAGCATTAAGGTAAAAACTGTAAACCCACCACCTAAAATAAAGAGACTTAGCATGCAAGCACGCGGTTAGTAAATCGAAATCAGCGTGCCTACAAACGCTGCGCCGGCTCGCCGTAATTCTCTGTAGGACCCGTCGTCGCTTCTGTAGTGGCCCCTAATGGCATAGCTCATGGCCCACTAGACATTTATATGAGAAAGAAAGGCAGTAGGACAGAACCGAAAACCCACCACCAGAACCGAAAACTCACCACCACTTGCATACTTACCTACTTACTTACTTAGTTACTTTCGTACTTATTTTGCAAGCTTAGAGCACAGCCCAATCAGTATTAATTTCTGGTGGCATTTATAAATGAGATATTCGTATGCCTGCTGTTTCTTTCGGCGTGTTCATGAAATATCAACACTGGCTGTCCTTTTTCGATTGTGTCAGTAAACGTTACTATAATACCCCAGTTACAGTCTTTTTTCCCCTATTACAGTCAAATTCTTCTCATTTGGGTTAACGAACAATGTGTGCTAATTTTGGCTAGAATTCCCACTTTCAATAGCTTCCACCAGTAGACCTCCACCAAGAGTTGAGGACAAGCAGTTGGCCCGTTCATGTGAAGTATGCTTAGCGAAACTACTTAATCTGGTCATTTAATCGAATCGATGGTAATGTTCTATTTCATACTGCACATTTCCATGACCTCTGGAGAGTGTTTTGCAGGAAAATGTACTGCGTTAGCCCAATATGTTCGGTCTGCGACGATTAAACTGTGGAACATGATTTGCGTTTATTTTTTGAGAGAATTTTAGTTTATTTCTGCTCTACACTATCATGTCTTATCCAGATTTGTCATCCGGCGGTTGGTGAAATCTCAAAGCTTCTACATCTCGGTTGTCGTTTTGGTTTTGTTAAATACACTGTGCGTTTCGGTGGAATTTTACGGCCAACCTGGATGGCTAACGGAATTTTTATGTAAGTTTGATGTGAACTACCCAGTGCATTGGATTAATTTCTTTACAACAAGGACACAATGTACTGAAAATAACGCTTTCTCACACTGTTAATCGTCTGTGCCAATCTTTCGTGAGCGTAAAGTTTCCGCAACCCATCGATCGGTGAGTAGTAAACTAAGTGGGTAGCAGTTAGCTCAAAACAAATTGTTACGTTTTAGCAGCCGTATTCGTCGTGTCGGTGAGTTGGTTATCTTTGGATAGCAACACAGTTTGACCTACGATCTGCATTAAATCACACCTCTGTCTTTACTGGGGCCATGCCCGATGTGATGCGTTTTGTCTGTGCTGCGTTGCTTAGTGTGTCGGCAAGGTAGAGCGCAGCAACGCGTCACCGCAGTAATATCTGCACAGTGGCGTAACAACCAATTTGGCTCACGGGACTCGTGAAGGCCACACAATCCGCTTAGGACAAAGGTCACATCAGTTTTCGATGAAATAGATGGTCGTTTGGGGCACTGAGTTAAATGTGATGAAAGTGACTTCAATGGGACAAATAGGGGGATCGCTGGGATGAACTTTTGCACAGGTGTGTCACAAGGCACAAAGGTGTTGTTAGGTATACCGAGTATCATTAAAATATCCAACGTTCAGCTTAGCTGGAAATTTTACTCTTCATATATCGTAGCGAACAGTCAGCAATACTAAAATTGCCGCCCTCTGTCTCATGCTGCCTGGGGCGGACCGTCCCCGCCTCCTACGCTAAGCCTCTGCACCCACATAGCTTCTACCTACGTTAGCCGACACAAATAAAGACACCAGATACTCAAACTGGGGCCTCAGTGTCTGCTAATTAAAAAGAGCAAAGGGATGCACCAATAAAACCGCTGAGGTATCTGGAGCGGTTAATGCAGCCACTGTGGGTTGCATAAGCAAAGGCTGAGCCATCAGACTTTTTAAAAGTACATCATGTGCATTGTAATTGATATTGCATCTTTACACAAGACAAATGCACCATGTTGTTCGCCTTGCAGAACCTATTGTTTGACTTAAACCACTCTTTTATCAACGTTTCAGATTATACAGAATTCGTCTTTCTCGCTGTTTTTATGTTGGAAATGATGCTAAAAATCTATGGACTGGGCGCGCTGTTGTATTTTCAGTCTTCATTCAATATTTTTGATTTTACGGTAAGTTCCACCGATGTTACTTCGCAGTCAAATTCTCAGGTATTGTTTGGGATCAGGTGTATTACGTCCTTTTATAGTTTGCTTTGTTGCGTTCCCATCGATTAGTCGGGAAAAACGCACAACAATCCAAAATTTGAGTCTGTTACCTGGTACATGCAGTCGTGTTTTGCCAACTAGTCCAATCTCACCCAAATTATGGTTGTCAGTTCCGGATTTATCTCAGCTAAATATATATATCGGCAACGAAAAGGTTTGTTGGCGAATCCGAATCAACGTTAGCGCACCGTGGTAGTAAGATGACCTCCTTAGAATTTCGTGCGCACAGTTTTATCGGAATTTGCTTGTCAAGAGTCGCTTTTTATTTCCAGTTACCGCATAAACGGTTGCCAACCAAAAAAGCATAAGCGACGGCTACTTCACGGCTGGCCTGTTAAATTTATAGTTTGCTTCAAGTGTATTCCATACCTAAGGTTTGTTGTTTAAGTATACATGAAAATAACCTGAGTACATCGGCTACAGTTTCCGTCGTATGAATACTATGCCTTCGTGGAAATGTTGAGGCGCCGCATCCTACTGTTGGGATTCATTTGCAACGCACATTTCGCTTAAATCCGGTGCTCCTCTAACCTGTACAGATGCCACGTGCAATCTGACAACACATTTATGAATCATAACTACTGCCACAGGCCCACATAACTGAGCGGCAGCTGGGTTCCAAGTGGATGAAGCAGCTGTACAATAAACCATGAGTACTAATTTTTAACGGGTAAAATAGCGAATGCTTGACAAATTCCTAGGATGACCGGTGTTCGGTTGGCTAGCCGAACAACCTTCTCGTGGTGCCAGCTGGGTGGTTCGGGTTTAACCCGTTCCAGCAAATAGTTCGGTAGTAGTGTTCCCAGACGTGGTGGGTTTTTGCCTGGCAAGCGTCATCCCTATAAAAAGCCACAAATGTCCGTTTATCAACATTGTGACGTGGCGAATGTGACTCGCTTCGTGAATATCTGGATAAGTATATCCAATCCACGGACATCAATCGCCTGTCCTTACATCGCCGACGCTATCAAACAGTCGGCGGATAGCGTCCTCCGGTCGGTTATTTTTGGCTGTGTTGACAAGATCACTTTGATAAATGATAAATGTTATATTCCTCGGTGTTTCGAGGTACAGTCCAACTATGTGGTCTGATCAATGTGTACAACAAGATCGCAAAAAAATAATCAATTTGTTCCTGCTTTTTACAATGGATCCAAAAACAGGTACCAAACTAATTGGCAGGATTAAGGCATTAAAGAAAATAAAAAACAGGAACAATAACGTAAGCAAATTTAAACAGATGTCCATTTAAAGTAATACGGCCACTCGTGGAACCGTCCCCAGGGGACCTGCTTCCATGCAAGGTATTCCCTCGAAAGGTTTCGCTCGCACTTCCATGCAATAACTGGCCGTGTGCCTGTGTGGCATAGTAGCATATGAGCCATCACCTGTATATCATATGTTTCGTTCATTTTAGAGCTGTTTTTGAACATGTGTTATGGGCCATGAATGCTCAGCCCAGTCCGTCATGCGGATCATTCTATTATGGCACTTTTTTATACGCCAGACAGTTGGTGGCAATTTGCCTTGCACAGGTAACGTCTTTTATAATCTGGAAGCTGTAATCCGTCACCACAGGAGATCAGACCAGTCGTGGCCAACTATGAAATAAAGAAGAATATAGAAAAGAAGAATTCTGTGAAAGAGGTACTATATCGTTAATGTAAGAAATAGGCAGGTATGTTTTGTACATCGGCGTAGAAATCGATCGAGCCGATCATACGATAAATAGTGTAGCGTGACACCCGGAGACAGATGACTGTACAAGTTGTCCATAGGCAAAAGTCGCGTAGGGAATCAGTTATTGCCATCACTGAATTCAAGTATATGTTTCTGGACTGTTAACTTCAGAAAAGAGGGGGAAATGATTAGCACTGGAGAACAAATGTAGCGAAAGGGATCGCAGAACAATATTACGAGTTAATCAATTTGTGGGGAAAATTACGAAAATAGCTCCTGACGTCACACCAGTAAATAATTTTGCTCTCGGTTTTAAACAGAAGACAGTTGATATGAATTAAGTTTAAAGGGAGTAAAACCGCATGGAATGTAGCGTTAAGGAATAGCATAAGAAGCGGTTTGTATCAGCTCATCCTAGCTGATCAAGTTTTCTCTGGTGCAGTAGAGTTGATGTTCTCCGGTATCATACATGATCCGGCCCTTCTTCATACAGTTTTTCATCATCAAATTGAATGTTTAAGATCCATTTCTCTCTGTTCGTTGACAGATAAGCCTTTATCATTTTCTTGAACATGCAGAAATGTTCAATACATCTAATCACTTTTGGCAGCTTATTCCAAATGGAGCCATACCTAAGAAGATAGAAATTTCTCCTTAGACTGCTCTTGAATTTAGGTAAATAGAATATGCATTCTTTATCTCGCAGTTCATAAGTGGTGTTTTCCCGAAAGTGCAATTGATAGGTTCCAATATATGCTTTCCTCCACGCGAGTTTGTGGAGGAAGCACAGATTTAGTTGCATTCTTCGTAACCACAGAGGTTCAAGATTCAATTGCTTGCACCTATCTCGGTATGAAAGAGCGGTTGAACAGCCAAATATGCGCTTCGTAAAGGCGCCTTGGACGTTTTCAATGGCTCTCAAGTCAGCCTTTCGCAAGTTACCGAACACAGCACAACAATATTCAAGCAAAGGCCAGATACTGATTTTGAAAGCAATTAGTCTGGTTTCTTTCAAGGTTAGTAGGTGGCATATGAGCCCGACCGACTGCTTAGCCTTTTTCACTATATGATTTGTATGTTCGCTAAAGTTTAACGAACTAGAATATCTTAAACCTAAGTCTCGAACAGACTGGCTGATGGGAATGACTTCATCATGAAGCCTGAACACTTCTGCTGCTATCTGACATCCATACGATAGAATACTACACTTCGATGTTGCAAATGTCATCTGCCACATATCAGCCCATCTCTCAATGGCTTCCAAGTCGCTTTGGATATTGTTAACTTCAGCGGTACGCTGAGAACCTGGGAACGTGTAGACCACCTTTAAATCATCAGCAAATAAATAAGGCTTCCCAAATTGTATGACAGAAACCAGGTCATTTATATACAGTAGGAAGAGCAACGGGCCTAAGACACTGCCCTGCACCACTCCACTGGTAACCGAACGAGGTGAAGAGATGTAACCATTGATATCCACAACTTGCGACCGTCCTACAAGGTAAGATTGGATCCAAGAGTAAAGCGGGTTTGTAACACCGTACTTACTTAATTTACATAACAGCTTTTTGTGTGGGACTCTGTCAAAAGCCTTTTGCATGTCGAGGAAGATAACAATGCACTGAAGACCTGAGTCAATTGCTTCAGTTAGATGGTTAAGGAAGTCAACTTGACAGGTAACACACGAGCGAGATTTCAGAAAGCCATGCTGTGAAGGTGCGAGAAGTTTGTGCGATATTAGGAACGAAACCAAATGTTCCTTAACAATTCTCTCTAGCATGTGAGAGAATGGCTGTGTGACTAATGGGGCGGTAGTTCCGGATGTCAATTTTAGACCCGGACTTATGTCTCGGTATGACCGTAGCCGTTTTCCAACGTTCGGGGTATTGACCAGACTGGAGAGACAAAGAGAAGATATTTAATACTATAAGAGGGATATCATCTCCACCGTGTTTGATTAAAGCAGAAGAGATCCCATCGGGGCCAGGTCTGTAGGATGGTCTTAGACAAGTAAGCATACGTTTTAGCGTAGCAACACTAAGCTCGATCGCTGGGACTTGTTCAGAGAAGTGAAATGAGGTTGACAAATCCAGGGTTTCTTTTTCAACTTTGTGTTAACTTTCTGCGCTCATTGGAAGTATTTCGTGGAAATTGAGCTACAATTCAGTTTCATTTCCGATTCTGAAATTTCCGACCAGAAATACTTGTGTTTTCATCGCTTGGTTTCGGCGATCTTGCTATCGCCACTTTCTTCGTCATTTGGCCGCCATCTTGTTTTCGGATTATTCACAATGCCGAAGCAGTCGTCCTGTGGTACTTGCTCCAAACTAGTCGGATACCGTGCAAATGCTCTTACGTGTGTTTTGTGCCAAGTTAAATACCACATTTCATGTGTTGGATTATCAGTTGAGCATTTTCATCCTCTTCGCGAGATCCAACACGATTTCGTCCAAACTATATGTGAAAATTGCCGAAATAAGATACAGCCAGAAAGAGTAAAGCCGACGTGTAGGCCTCAGCGTTTCGTCGCGAACAGCTCCGTGTGTTTGGCCCAACAACCTAGCGCGAAGAGCCTTCAGGTTTCGGCTCAGTCGTCCTCCTCTACCCGTGTAAACTCACCGACACGAAGTCCAACCGTTGTGAGAAGCCCAGTTGCACCTGGGCTAAATTGTTTACCTTTGTTGTGTCCACCGGACACTGATGTCCCAGCAGGTGAAAGTCTGAGTGCTGAAGACCAGTGGAAAGATCAGAGGACGAAATTACGAAGGAACGTTGGGAGTTTACGTTCCGTAAGTCAAAAGTTAGCCAAACCACTTGAGGCTGGTAGTATACTTCGCCCTGCAAGGCCAACCTCGTCCGACCAGAGGCGTTATAATCTTGTGGTCTTTCACGCACCGGAGTCCAGTGATCCATCACCCCAAGTGCGCTACGATCACGATGTCGAGTTTTTACAGGGTCTAATTGATAGACTCCTCGACGCTAGTGAGAACTCGGTAAAAGTGAGGCAGATTACCCGTCTTGGAAAGCAAGGTGATCAACAAAATCGGCCTATGAGAATCACTTTTGTGGACGAAGCCAGTCCAAGACTGATCATGTCTCGCCTAAGTAGGCTGAAAGGTTTGAAGATCCATGTTCGTCCCGACCTAGACCCAGTAGACAGGGAGCGGCTCAAGTCTGTCATCATTAAGTTGAAAAGACGCACTGGTGAGGGGGAAACAAATCTT